TTAATCTTAGGGATATTTTTTTTTGGACAGGTTTAAATTAAATGAACAATCTATTTATCAGTTGAACGTTTCGTCCCTATATTTGGAACTTCCTCAGCAACTCGATCGTTATTGTTCACGAGTCAATATAACATCATTTCTCATTACAGTCATAAGTAGTCACTATCTTATCTATAAAGTCAATTTTAAACCGTTATCCTACCATAACTTTCGAACACTACTGTAAACCTGTCCAAAAAAAATATCCCTAAGATTAAACCTAGTAATAATATTAGAATATTAATAATTATTATTAAAATTCATATTAACGTATATAAAATCGATTCTGAAATCAATATCGATTGATCGATCATATTTGTATTTCGTTATTGGAATTGTAAATAGGAAAAAAGAAATAAAAAAAAAGGAGTAGTCGTCGTCAATTTCGAGGTAAGATCGTAGTCTAAGGTTTAAGAGGAAAATGGGGTGGTAATGGGTGGAAATTCGTTGGAAAGGTAGGTAGGTAGGTAGGAAAGGGTAGGGTAGGGTGGGTAGGTGAGAGGTCGTGCTCGTAGCATAGACGTTAACTACAAATCATTCGTGCTTCGAAAGCCGAGGCGTTAGCTCGATAGTTTAATATTAATGTCCGATAGGTAACGAGTTACGACTGCGTCATTTCCGACGAGGTATACCAACACGCTATTAATTTCAAGCAAACAAACAAAAAAAAGTCTACTTCAAAATATTAATATTTGTATACGTAGTCGCGCGTATTTTAATAAAAAAAAAAAGAAAAAAAAACGATTAAACTCTGTATTTCAATATTTTTTATAACTCTCTTCTCTTCTTCTGCCGTCTACCCCCCCCCCTCCCACCCCACTCCGTTGTCGTCGTATTCGTTCGAAAATTTTCAAAATAACGTGTTGCACAAACATAATAATATAATAATATACATCATTCGAAATAATAATTCTTAACGATCGTGTCCCACCACCTCACAACTTCCCCAACCCCCCCCCCCACTCGCTTATGGCCATTGATTTATTTGTCCCCCTCTCCCCCAATTTTTGTTCTTTTTTTCTCTTTTATTATTATTATTATTATTATTATTATTATTATTATTATTATTATTATTATTCTATCACCCTATTCTTTGTTTTGATTTTTCGGTCGTACTTTTGTTCCCCTCCCTCCCAGCGTTGTTATTTTACGAGGATTTAATCAAAATTTGACGAAGAGAATAATAATTCGTCGGGAAGAGTATTCGCGTGAATTTTCGTCGTTGCTACGAAATTTACTGTGTAATTTTCATCGACATTAAAAATAAATTCATTTGTTTATTCACCATAGGGGGGGGGCTGGGGAGGTAATAGTGTGTGGTGTGGTACTTTCTAGTAACGTTGACCGTATACATATATAAATACATTGACGTGAGCGAGTAGAAATGTAACACACACACACACTAAGAGTTCGTTGAACTTGTGGGTGGTGAATATTTACCGAGCGGTTTATAAAAAGGAGAACAAAAAAAAAAACATGCATTAAAAGAAAGAAATAGGTAGACAGGAAAGATATAATGTAATATATCGTACGTATACTTTGATATTTTAAATGTATAGGTATACATATTTTGTGTATTATAATAATATATGCATCGCATTTGATTGCAATTATCATTCTAATTCGATATTTGAACTTTGATTAGCATCGTTTAAAACCAAACGAACGAACGAACGAACAAACGAAAATTCTCACTTTAGTGAAGAATGAAATCATTTAAAAATATCGTGACAAAAATTTCCAAACCCCTTCTGCATGATAGTTTTCTGAACTTTTCAACCCTTTCATGCACAAAAAAAAAGTACTCTTTTTTTTTTTTTTTTTTTTTTATACATTTATATAAAATACTTGTATGCATTCCAAACGTGTGTAAATGTTATATCGGGTAATACAAAAAATTATTATTATTATTATTATTTCGATGTGAAAAGTGATAACGGTGATACACCACTCGTTTCTATTTTCCTTGATTTTAGTCATTTTCGTTGTCCGAGAAGAAAATTATAACGGAAGGAACAAAAAAATAAGAGGAAAAGGAAAAATAATATTTGATGAACGCGTTGTGTGAATTCCATGGTTGAGTCAATGGTTTTTTAACAACGTATATAGGAATACCGTATTGCAGAAAACTTTGATAGGAACATGGGGGC